CCAAAGGGTTGGTATTCTGAAAATATGACTTTACTCAAGAAAATCCAGCTTAAATTCAGAATTTGGATGCAGTTCATTGTATTGCAAAATCATTGATTTGTAAATTAATTATGTAGCCAAATTTTACTATATTTCAAACAACTGGGAGTCTGACATCTTTTTAGACTGCCCCGTGACTGTAAAGTGTAGGGTATTTGCTGACTCTGCATGGCCTTACAGCCATATTTTAGCTTCAGTAAATAACTATTAATTTCATAAAAAAACAAACCCAAAAAACTCACTAGTTATCCTTAAAATACATGATATGGTAGCTACTGTGATATGTTGAGGCTGGTATTTTAACAAATGTGATGGAAAGATGAATACAATTCATTTTTTTATTCTAGAAATTAGGTCCTAGGGGGAGGCAGGCATGGGATAGGGGGAATTGCTACACACTAGGTTTAATAGTGCTTATGAGTGGTGTGGCACTGTGGGATAATGCATGGATCACAAAGTCCGTTTGAACCACAAGGTCAGAGGTTCAAATTCACCAGCCGCTCCTTGTAAACCCTATACAGGGTTGCAATGAGTTGGTACCAACTGGAAGGCACTTAACAACAATTTCTTAGAGATGGTTTGTTGTTTTTCCTTTCACGTTGCCTTTGAGCCAGTATATCAACTACCTAAGTCTCTATTGATCCTTATTTTTTGGTCCAAAACACTAAGACCCACCTTTGACCCTTACCATATTTGGTTTAAATACATTTGGGTATTGGCAAGATTCATATTTGCCATCAAAAGACTAGGAAATTTCTTTCAAACACTGGTGTCATTGGTGGTAAATTACACTGTATTCTCGAAGGAATACTTTGAACAGAGTTGTACATTTGCTCATACATTGGCTATATTAGTTCTGGTGTTTATGAGGAAAAAACAAAATCACGTTCCTCACCATACTCATCTGCGTGAAAGAGTGAATGACAAGTATATTTCTTCTTTAGCAGTTTTGTAAACTTTGTGTGCTGTGTATCTAAAACAGGGTGCATTGGTTAAACCCTTGTAGTCTGAACCCACCAGTAAACCCATGAGGGCAGAGACCTGGTGATCTGTTCTGGTAAAGATGTCAACTTTGGGGAGCAGTTTTTCTCTGTCACATGAGTTACGGTAAGTCAGAATCGACTCAACAGCACACAATATCTAACATCACTTATTATTTAGGGTTGTTGTTAAGTGCTGTTGAGTTGGTCCCTACTCAGCGACCCTGCAAGGAGTGGGTGATGTGTTTGAACCTTGTTGCGCCCTGTGGTTCAAACCAACCTTGTGGTTGAGTGCTTATCCTACAGCACCACATCAGGATTCCTTAATTAAACTGTTGTTGGTAAGCGCCAAGTCATTTCCAACTCATAGCAACCCTGTATAGGGTTTCAGAGGAGTGATTGTGGGTGTGAACCGCCAACCTTACGGTTCAAACTTACCTTGCGTCCCAGTGCTTATCCTACAGTGCCATACCAGGACTTCATAATTAAACTACATAGTGAGATTGTACTAAGTGGACAATATGTTTCGGAGATATATGCTAGGTAAATAATAATCGGTTGAAGTATTCTGTTTTTGGTAGAATGTCTGATACCTTAGAGTGGATAATCTCCATTTTTGACATCTTGTTAATGTTTCTCTGTATACTTTCTTTTAGAATGTAAAACATACTGAAAATCCACTGACAGTTCGATTCTTAGTGACTCTAAAGAACTGAGCCAACACTGTAAATCTGTACAGGAATACAGTCTCATCTTTCTCCCATAGAGCATCTGGTGGGTGTGAATCACTGACCTTGTGGTTAGCAGCCCAACACTTACTGCACTGTACCCCAGGGCTCCACAGAGTACATTTGTTGTGAAGTGCAGTCAAGTTGGTTGTGAGCCTGTATAGGGTTTCTGAGGAGCAGCTGGTGAGCTTGAACCACCGACCTTGTGGTTCAAACCAACTTTGCAGTTCAGAGCACTAACCCACAGTACCATACCAGGACTCCAGATAGAACATTGTTGTTAAGTACCACAGAGTGGATTCCAACTCATAGTGACCCTGCACAGGGTTTCCGAGGCTGCACAACTTTACGGAAGCAGAAAGCCTCGTCTTTCTCCTGTGGAGCGGCTGGTAGTTTCTTACTGTCAACCTTGAGGTTAACAGCCTGATTCGTAACCCCTATGCTACCAGAGCTCCTTCTACCAGATACAACATATTAGGTATATAATGAGCTTTATAAGTAATTCATTGTGAGTGCACACGTACGTAACCCATTGGCCTAGTGGGACCCACTGTGCTGTAAGTAGATTGTGTACGTCTCCTACCTCTACATCATCCTGATCCTGTCACTCTTGGGAATAGGAAGTAGGTGATTAAGGGCCTTTCAGATTTTAAACATGCAGGGGAAGAGAGCACTCGTCTCCTCTGGCTTTTAAAAATAAAGGCAACAGCAGCAGTTAATCCATCCTTGGCTATTTGAGTTTCATTTTGAGGAAACTCTGACTAATTAAGCTGTCTTCTCATAACTGAACTAATAGTTTTACCAAGAAGAAAGATGAAAAGCTAATCACAGGCTTAGCTCCTTTGTGTTGCTATTTCAAATGAGTCAAGATGCATTCATATTTGGCTAATAAAATTAAGTGTAACAAATACAGGAGATGAAATTTATTTTTAAATGACCATAAGGAACTCTGGTAGCATAGTGGTTACGAATCGGGCTGTGAACTGTAAGGTCAGCAGTTCGAAACTACCAGCGGTTCTGTGGGAGAAAGCATGAGGCGTTCTGCTTCCGTAAAGATTTACAGCCTCGGAAACCCTGTGCAGGGTCGCTATGAGTCGGAACCGACTCCACGGCACTTAACAACAACAACAACATAATTTAATAAGTTTTCTGATTTTTTTTTTTACAAGACATGTGCTTGACCACTTCATTTAGTATCACAGACACAAAAATACTATTCAAGGCATAATTGCTATTTTTGTTTGTTTGCTTGTTTGAGGGGAGAAATTTGCCACTTCATACTACTATAGTTTTCTAAATTTAGGAACCGTACTGACAAAATTACTTTCAGCTCTCTCCCTTTAGCACAGTTCATGTTATTTTCTACCACTTTTGATAAGAATGTTTCTAATAAAACTTTGAAAGCAATATTTATTTCCCCAGTGTGAAATCCAGTAATTGGTGGAATTCCGTATCATAGCTCTGTAATTGCTCCAGTCTTATGTAGAAGCGTCCAAATAATTTTGAGATGTTAGATGGATACCAACAATCAAAACCAAACCCCACTGCCATAAGTTGATTCCAACTCAGAGCAACCCTTTAGGACAGAGTAGACCTGCTCCATGGGGCTTTAGAGACTAAATCTTTCCTGAAGCAGGCAGACTCATCTTTATCCTTTGGAGGTGGGTTTAAACTGCCGTTAGTTATAACCTTGCAGTCAGTAGCCCAATGCTTAACCCACTACACCATAAAGGGTAGGTTAAATTAAACCGCTTACCTTTCTAGTGTCTGTAGTCCTTTCTTTGATTATTGTTGTTAAGGGATGTCAAATAGGTTCCAGCTCATAGAAACTCTGTATACTTTCCAAGGAGTGGCTGGTGGGTTTGAACTGTTGACGTTTTGGTTAATAGCTCAGTGCTTATCCCTATAGCACCACACCAAAAACTCTGTCCTTTGATTAGTTCCCCCCAAATTGTATAAAATTAAGATAGTCAGTAAAACCTTGAGAGGAAGACTTTACTTTCTGTTAGAAACTTGCTTCCAGTATACTAAATGATAATGTTCTGCAGCGTGGCTGGATGTTCCTTGAAAGGACAAGTAACATGATTTGTAAATTATTTGTACATTTACTTCAAGTATTTAGTGCATTGCTAATATTTCTTGGTGATATTATTGATATTTTTGTGTGTAATTCCTGAAAACAAACATGTTGCTAGAAATGTAAAGAAATATTTATATTAGTTATAATCAGTTTAAACAGCAAAAGACCAGAATTGCTTAAAAGTTCAAAGTCAGCAGCCTGAAAATTTAGGGCTAACAGCTTGGCCAGATTGCATGTAAAAAGATTTTGGGAAGAAATTATTTCAGAAAAATGGTAAAGTGATTGTTTTCATTATTTAATGCTGCTGTAAAAGAAATACCCCAAGTGGATGGCTTTAACAACCGGAAATTTATTCTTTCACAGTTTACGAGGCTAGAAGTTCAAATTCAGAATGCTGGCTCTTGAGGAAGGCTTTCTCTTTCTGTGAGCTCTGGGGAAAGGCCCTTGTCTTCTTTCATCATATGTAAGCCCTGTATTACTTGGACATCTCCATCCATCTTGGCATCCATCTTCCCCTGGATCTAGGAGCTTCATAGTGCAGGGACCTCAGGTCCAAAGACAATACTCCACTCCTGGCTCTTCTGTCTTGGTGGTAGTAGGTCCCGCCTTCTCTGCCCAAATCTCTCTCCTTTTATCTCCTGTAAGGAAAATAAAAATAAAAAGGTATTGCATGCCACACTCTTGAGACTGTCCCATAAATCAGATTAGGGTGGTGGTGGTGGGATTCAAGGTGGTGTATCCTATCCTTTATCTTCTTACTGGTTTATCACATCAAATCACATCATGGGGGATAGCTCCATCTCAACTGCCAAATCACTGAGAATCCTGGCCCAGTCAAGCTGACACAAAACCTACCAACCACAGTGATTCTCAAAAGGAAATCAAAGAATGTAGTAATGCTTTGTTGTTGTTAAGTGCTATAGAGTAGCTCCCAACTCATAGCGATTCTAGTTTCCAAGGAGCTGCTGGTAGGTTTGAACTGCTGACCCTGCGGCTAGCAGTTCAGTGCTTATCCTTCAGTGCCCCCCCCAGGACTCCAGTAATGCTTTAGAAGTGTATATATATATTTGAATCTTTAATTTTAAAAACTGCTACAAAGAATCTATCCATGCACAGTAATGAATATACTTCAAAAAAGATGACTTAATTTTGTTTGTGATATTCAATTTGCAGTTTCCTACAGCATTTGAATTCAATGAATATTTCCTCATCACCATTTTGGACCACCTGTACAGTTGTTTATTTGGAACATTCCTATGTAACAGTGAACAGCAGAGAGGAAAAGAGGTGAAAGATGAACCCTGGCCCTTCCCCTCCATCTCCCTTAAGTGTTTGTGTACAAGTGTCCAATTTGGGTATAAAGGTTTTATGGGAATGATTTCAATTTTCTTGGGCATGATACCTACCTATCAGTTGTTGTTGTTGTTAGGTGCCATCGAGTTGATACCGACTCATAGCAACCTTATACACAGCAGAACAAAACACTGTCTGCTCCTGGGCCAACCTCACTATTGTTGCCACACTGGAGCCCATTAATGCTGCCACTTTGCCAATCCATCTCGCTGGAGGTCTTTCTCTTTTTCTCTGACCCTCCACTTAACCAAACAGGATATCCTTCTCTGGCGACAGTACCCTCCTGACAATATGTCAGTGGAATTGCTGAATTTATACTTCCCAGCTGCTCTTTGGAAACCTTATACAGGGTTGCTATGAGTGGGCACTGACCTGACAGTACTTAATATCACTGAAGTACCCAAGTTCCTTCCTTCCCTCTAAAGAGATCTTAACCATCACAAATTACCGCTCGAAATTTAATGTATGTTAGGTTTCTGAAATTTGTGGTGAAGAATCTTTACCTATTTTTTCTTATTACAGAATCTTCTCAAAAGGACTGTGTCATTGTGGTCTTACATAAATAGCCAGCAAGAAGACTTCACTAATCCTCTCTATGGGAGCTACTCTAATCATGTCCTTTATCCTGTAGCCAGCATGCGCCACCTAGAGCTCTGGGTGGGATATTACATAAGATGGAATCCCCGGATGAAACCACAGGTACATGAGAGTTTTGTTGTGTGCAATTTTATTAGGTTTTCCCTTTACATCACATAGAACATTTAACTATTTATTTCAAAACTTGCCTGTCTGGTTGTTAAGTTATAATTGCATAGTAGAGAAATGATTATTCAGGTAATTGATATGTGGTACTTAACAACAACTTGGTTATCTTTGGCTTGTATAACCTTGGACAAAGGGACAAAGCACTTCATACTGTCCTCTCTTCCCTCCTCTGGATAACTTGGGCAAATAGCTTTACGAAAGCTGAAACCCTAGCAGAATTTTGGTTCATTTTTAAATGTTACAGAATATTTACTGTTAAAATTGTTTTGAATTCCATCTCCCCCCAAAAAAGGACAAAAATCAGATAGAGCGCTGGCTTATAAAATCACCTTGTTGCTCAGTTATTTTATTTGGCAAAGTATCAATTCCAGGAACATACTAGTATTCTTTGAAAGACCCACAAGCATTAGGAAAGCCAGTAAGTTATCACTGGTCTCATTAGAGCCTTTAAGCCACTGAAGTGTGAGATCGGTCCTTGTGGCTGAACATATACACACATTGAGACATTTAGAATGATGTACCAGAGTGATTTGACTGGGTCTTGTTTGGAATTGCTGTTTACTGTTTTATTTGCTTTCGTAGGAGCCTATTCACAACAGATATAAAGAACTTCTTGCTAAACGAGCAGAACTTCAGAAGAAAGTAGAGGAACTACAGAGAGAGATTTCTAACCGATCAACCTCATCCTCAGAGAGAGCCAGTTCTCCTGCACAATGTGTTACTCCTGTCCAAACTGTTGTCTGAATGGACTGTTTGATGGGCCATCATCACCACAGACTTTGGCAATGGCAGCTTTATAAGTAGAAAGTCTTCTGATTTTGGAACCTATCTGTGAGAGAAAGTGGTCACTTTATTTATTTTAAATTTCTCTCAGATGAGTTTAGAATCGTAGCAGTGTGGGTGGTGTCGGTGAAATAACCCCTTATATAACTATATGGTTATGATACTCATTTTACAAGACACCCAGAGAATATTAAAATGTTTAAATCCTGGATCCACAGTGGGAACAATTTTTGATTTTAAGAAGTGCTGTCTTAAGAGATTTTGGCATCTGGTAATAAAAATACACCACCACTTCAGAAACATACCTCTTGATGGTCAAAGTTCACTGCAGAGGGTGGAAGTAGCAAACCAATCCGCCACTGAGACCCCAGATGCTGTATGACATCAGTCCTTGAAGTCATGATGGATACCCTCTCCTCATGGGTTTTACCTTTATGTAGCCATTGATTTAATCATCTTCCAACGCTCATATTTTTCATATAGTGAAAGCAAAGTCTAAAGGGTTTTATGGTATAATAGTAGTTGAAAATTGCTGATGCCATTTATATATTATTTAAGCTGTATTAGGTAGCTCTTTCAAAATGATGCCTTATAGAAATACTTGGAGTGGGTGGGGGAGAGAAAGCTATCCATTTAAAAGATTTTCACATGCTCAAGAATCAGAAAACATCACAAAAGTTTAAACAATTCATAATGTACCCCATTTCAGTTTATTTACTATTTTGAACAGAGAGGATTTGGATATTTTGAGGCAATATTTAAAACTTTCACTAGGAATGATTATAAAAAGTTTACGTTGATAAAGTACTGTGCTCAGATTTTACATGAAATATTTTATTACATTTGTCATTTGCAAATTCTGTAATTCCACTGAATGATTAAATCTACCAAAGAACACAGTGCATGCAAAGATGTATTCCCGTCTTAGTGCCAGTAAAGGAAGTCATGCTTGCTGGTCACCTGCTACAGTTAGTTGAGTCTACTATAAACACTGACTCCCTGATGTCTAGTTTACTTTGTAAGAGCCATATGTAAAGTACTGTAACAAAGGAGCTTCTTGTCCCATGGGTCTTTAATTAAAGTAAAATTTCAGCTGACTTTTAATCTTGGTTCTAAATGTTATCTTAGTTTGTTATGCAGAAATGCTATTTTGGAAATTTTTGTAAGAGGAAAGGGGCGTCTTGAGCACCCAGACTGAAATGTTCAATTAGTACCCTTCCCCCCAAAATACCAAATCAAACCATACTCCAAAATAGTCTTGCACTCCATTTAATTCGTAAATCTGAACCTTTGTCTTGATTTTGGTCTTGCAATGAAGGAAGATCATTTCTATTAGTACACTCAGTGTTAACAAAATCAGCAACAGGACTGTGTTTCTGTATGAAAAACAGGAGTCCTGGTGTGGCACAGTGGATTGCAAAGTTGTTTGAACTGTGATGTCGGTGGTTCAAGCTCACCAGCTGCTACTTGGAAACCATATACAGGGTCACTATGGGTCAGAACTGACTCGACGGCACTTAACAACATTGTGTGAGTTTGGTGAAGCTACAAACCTGCTCTATCAGAAAATCATACATGCAAACAAGTGTACATATGATTTTATGAGGTTCACGAATATGCCAACATCTATTTAAAAACGCTAGATTAAGAAGTTCAACTGTAGAAAACTCAGTTTTAAGACACCTGACAAGCCTAGGCAGCCATATAATTCATGCTGGTGGTCTAAATATAACCTAGAGCTCTAGTTTCTTTAGTCAATTCCAGGGGAGGCATAAAAAAGCAATTCCTTTCATACATGACTCTTTCACAGAGTATCTTATCATATACCACAAAACAATTCAACCTTGTTGGGCAGTCTTGTTTCTCATAATGCTATGGTCTTACTTTGAAATGCATCTTTTGAGAGATTACAACAGATAATGCCTTTATTAACAGGCTGTTAAGGAAAGTTTCAGTGTTTCCTTATAAGAAGCTGCTTTATTGACTTCAGTGCAAATTTATAAAAAGATAACAGGTTTTAAATCTATTCAAAATGATGATTTACATTATTAACAGTATGACAGTGTGTGTACAGTAAACAGTGCACTCATGCTGTACACTAATAAAAACAAAGAGCCAAAGGGTTCCATCAGTTTCAAGATGAAAACCATAATGCTTTGAGTGAATAGCATGATTACAAATAGCTATTATTTAAAAACAGCAAATAACAAATGTATACACGTTAATTCAGTGCCCCTCTGCTCTTCATTCTTAACGTTATATTCCAAAATTTCATTTGTTCCATTATTTTAAAAAATATCTTTATAGTTTTTACAGGTACCTGACTTAAAAGACTACATGGGTCTTTTCCCCTTTTACTTTTTTTCACAGTGGATTTAAAAATAAAAGCAAAACAGATACTGATTACTTTGAGTGCTAAAAACCAAACCAAAATAATAGGCAGAATAAGGTCTCAGAAGGAAGTGATTTTTTTCTTAGCCTCTTAGGAGACACCAATGGAGGAATTGAAAGAATCCTCTTAAATGTGTCATGAATATTTAAGTATAGCAAACCTACATCAATAGTCAACATAAAAGTACATTTAATGGCTGTATTAGAAAGGGGAAATGGGGGCTTTGAGCCAGGGGAAGATTTAAAAGTGAGACTTCTCAAGCAAACACTGCCTATGGAATAGCCATATATTTTGATAATTTAGACCTAATTTTATTTAGATATATAATTGCTTTAAAAATCACACCCACAAGTAAAAAAATTGGTCATCGTTTTACAAAGTGCAGTACAGCAAAATCCATCTCAAACAAAGAAGAGTGTATGTGGATTCTCTGCCTTTAAAAACCCCTGTTTTCCATGTATATGGCTTAACATTTAGCCGTGCTGTCTAACCCAAGGAGACAGTTCAATGAAGCTGGTGGTCTCTTTAACACCTGCTATCAATTAATTCCAATAGAAGAAGAGTATGAGACCTGGGAAGTAAATTGGCAACATCTGTTTGATGAAGTACAGGTTATCTGAATAAAATTTATGACCTGGTACCAGTCAGTAGTCCCACAACAAACTACTGCTTTGTAATGAATTCTGTATGGTCTGCATGTCCTTCAATAACTGAAGATTTTTCCTGCTTTTTTCTCCAGGTTTCAGTTTGGTAAAGTCTTTCTTATTGGTGGCCCCTGTAGTCCCAGAAAAACGGCTGCTGCTGTTTCCTTCTTCATCAAGAGACTTTTTAGTGGCTCTTAATTCTTTCCTCTGCTTTTCTATCTTCTGTTTCTCCAGCTACACCAAATCACAAAGGGAGAAAGGGAAAGGAGACAAATGAAAACATTGTGTCATGATAGTCAATACTTTTAAGTTTAACTCTCATATTCATTCTATGACTTTTCCTTTGTTGAGGCTCAAAAAAATCTACTATACTAGTCATTTAACAATCCTTTAAAAAACAAAAAACATCCATGTTTATTTTTTGAGCATGATACTACGTACAAGGTGCTGTGGGGGGTTATAATAATAATAATAATAATAATCCAGCATTCCAAGTGCTTAAAATAGGTAGTGACATACAAGTAAACAAATCAATCCTGGTGCTTGAGGAATGTCTCAGAAAGGCCAAAAATCCAGGGAACTGAAGGATGAAAGGATTTTAACAGATGGAGAGGAGAAAAGTGTTCTAGAAACTAGTCTGAAGAGGCAAAGAAGCATGTTCCAGATTCATGAAAGATGTAGGGGTGATACAATTCTACTAGGAGAAAGATTTAAAGTTTTATTCTTATTCCGCTATTTTGGAATAATTAAAAATAGGAGAGCTTTAAGTTTACTTTAGCTCAACTGTCATTGTACTATCCATTTGTTGTTTGTTGCCAGGGAATCTGACTACTGGCGACCCATGTATGCAGGGTAGAACTGCTCCAAAGGATTTTCCAGGCTGTGTGACCTTTCAGAAGCTGCTCATCAGGCCTGTCAATGGTGGGTGAATTCACACTGCCAACTTTTCCTCTAGTCCTTGAATGCTTGTGACTGTGCCACCCAGGGGTCCCTTTAGAATAATTAAGTTCTAGTGAACTAATAAATCTTTGGGAAATGTAATTTCACTAAAGCTATGCCTATCCTGGAATTCCTGGGTGGTTCACACAGTTAACATGCTAGGTTAACCAGAAGGTTAGAGGTTTGAGTCTAACCAGGTGTACCCTGGGAAAATAGGCCTAGTGATCTTAACTTCTGAAAAATCAGCCACTGAAAACCTATGAAGCACACATGGGGTTGCCCTGAGTTAGAGCTGAATTCACGTCAGCTGGTTATGTCTACCTCTTAAGAAACTCAGCCCTAGTTTCCTTAATTTATAAAATGAGAACAATAACCTCACCTCACAAGTTTCCATGAGAACTAAATGAGCACAAAGCACCCAGCACCGTACCTATGATGATGCAGCCAAACCTCTTAGGTTTCCCATTCTGACGAGTAGCACACCAACCTTCTTAACTTCTTTCTCCATCCATGTTATATCTAGTAACAAGTAGCTCTGATATTTCAACTTCAAAAAAACACTTCAAATCTGTCTGCTTCTCCTCAGCTCTAGTCACCGCCTAGTCCAAGTGACTACAAGCTTGGAGAGATTAGCTGGCTTCCCAGACTAAATCTGCCCCATCTACTTATCACTGCTCCAAGTAGCTCTTAAATATACAAATCATCATTTTATTCCCTGGATAACTTTACACTGCACTTTGTAAATAAATGCTTTACGGATTTAGTATAATTGCTGTTGTTGTTAAGTGCCATGGGTTGGTTCCGACTCACAGTGACCCTGTATAGAGTTTCCAAGGAACGGCTGATGGGTTTGAACTGCCAACCTTGAGATTATCGTATAGTGCCACACCAGGACTCCCTAGTATAACTATTAACATAAGTATGACTAAAGATTTTCTCACATAATATATCTGTAATTTATCGCACATTTCTAAGTACTTTAGAAAAGACTTGGGTAAATTTATTGTTGTTGTTAAGTGCCATTGAGTTGGTTCTGACTCAGTGGCCCTGTATTGGGTTTCTGAGGTGCACCTGGTGAGTTTGAACCACTGACTTTGTGGTTCAAACCAACCTTGCAGTCTAGTGCTTTATCCCACAGTGCTACCCCATGGAGAAACTTAATTCATGGAAGTTCAAGTTTATTCACATGATATAGAATATTAAATATATTCAGTATTTGAAAGCTGTATCTTAAGACAAAATCTATATAAGTGACTCTAAGACTGTCCTCTAGTCCACTTAACATCGATTCTTAATAGTTAAATGAGTAAGTGTCTCCCTTTATTATGTAAGGAAATAACCTCTGGAGCTCCCTATCTGTGATACACTCACAGTGTTACAGAAATAAAATGTTTTGAACAAAAGGTTTTCTTTAAATTTTAGGAATCAGAGTGAAGGAAAACAAAGTTACCTGGGCTTGATATTTTCGAACTTTAGTTATTTGGTTGGCTTTTGCTTCCATCCTTCCAACTAATGTCTCCAGTTCACACTCTAAGTCGTCTTTCAGTTCAACAGTTGGTGATTCCTGGATAAGTTTTGTCAGCTGCTGGTGATCACTACGGACAAAGCAAAACTGAGGCTTAATCAGTGTCCTTAGGCTCATGGATAGCACCTGAAACCTCGCTTCACCATATGGCCACTGCTTTGGCCATTAAAAAATGACTAAAATTTCTTCAAAACAAAATTTTAAATGATCATAGTTTAAAATTTCAAAACACTGGAGGCAAATGCAGGAAGAACTCTTAATTTCAAACGACTAACCATTTATATGCCTACTTTCCCCCATAAGAATATTAGATATATAGAAAGGAAAGTTTAGATAAGAATCTTATTTGGTCACATCCTAACTTATAAGTTTAGTTTAACTCAATGTATAGGCAGTCCTTGGTTACAAAGATCTGCACCTAACTATGTCTTTAAGAATTTGTACATGGTTCTTATTTACTTTAATGTAAGAGAAGCTTACATAATGTAAGTTGAAACTGTTCCAGTGATTTAAAAGCTCTATTAACAGCAAGTAAAGGTAAATGTGGTGAAGAAATTGTTAGGACTAGGGGTTGTTGGTTCAGAGCCCTGGTGTGGCACTGTAGGAAAAGCACTGAACTGCTCTGGTAGCCACCAGGTTGGCAGCTCAAACTCACCAGTCACGCTCAGAGACCCTATACAGAGTCTCTATGAGTAAGAACTGACTTGACTGCACACAACAACAGGGATTGGTTCAATGTTAAGACAGGGCTTCAAACTGGTTCTTCAAGTTCCTTTATGAGAAATAAGTCTTAGGATGACCCATCTTCAGGAATGAGAGGGGTCCATGAAGTTGCTGGCTAGTGTAACAATAGAAGCTCATGGGGAAAAGCAGATGGAACTTGTTTGTCCAACTAAGAATTTTAAATAAGAATGCAACCATCCAAGGGAACAGGCAGCTTCAGGAGAAAGATTGTTAACCCCATACTTCTCAGTCAATGAGGAACCTGGGTAGGGATTTTCTTGAAGATAAAATTCTTTGCTAACTGGCCACGCGGTGCCATCTGCCTGTGTTTTTTGGGTTTGGTGCCTAATTTTGCAAATTCAAAAAGCCTCACTCTTGCTAAAATGAGTAGAGATTGGATTTCTTGAGGTCTGTCAGTAAGCACTGGTTATAAATCATTGGTGACCTCATAGTAACCAAGTGGGACCGACCATGTTTCTCACAAGTCATGGACAACAAAGTTCAAAGATGGCAGTTGACTGTCCTCCTTTGAATGTGTGTGGCTTTCCAAAGTACTGTCAATAATCCAATTTCACATGGCAGGCTCCTGAAAGAGCTTACTTTGCCTCTTCCATGACAAATTACCCAAATTGTAAAAATTTGGGTCTGTTCCTTTTTAATTTCACTGACTATCACAAAACCAGTTTGAAGCTCTGCAATAAAGGGCAAGTTGTAGTCCTAAAGTTGAGCATTCATAACCAGGAGACTGGTTCATAACCAGGTCAAATTCCCAAGTAATGAAGTAACAGATTTAAGCTCTGGCATTCAAAACACTCAACATTACAAAAGAAAGAGAGGTTTCTCCCATAATCAGTGATATATGTTAAAAGTCCCAGTAACCTGCTTAGTGTCTGATGTAAGTATTGGGGTTCAACAAAATCTGAACAAACAAAAAGTAGGATTAAAAAAACTCACCAAGAAATTAAAAACCAGGTTTAAGAAGTAAATACAATTTTGAAACTTAAAAACAAAGCAACTCACAAGCTCATTTGCCCAAATTCATCCTGCAAAGTCTGTAAGACTTCTGACAACTCTTCATTAATGGTGTTGGAAGACGATGGTGTTAACTTCTTACTTTTACTACATCGTGAAGACACTTGCTTTGCCAAAGGAACATTGTTGACTACTCGATCATTGCACAAGGCTTTACTGTGTTGCTTCATTAGATGCAAGACATGCTGAACATTGGCTACCACAGCATGGCTAGGGCTGGTGGACTTCAGAGAGAAAAAGGATAGAAGAAAGTTAATGAAGCTTTTTTCCCCCCTAAGTGGGTAAAACATCTCGAGTTTATGGCATAAGCCTCCTACTCTGCCAAGTCCCATTGACTGGATTCCCCAAATATCTAGAATTCACCCTCTTGCTCTCTGCCCTACTGCTATTCACTTGGTTTATGAATCCTTCTCTGATGGCTATAAAAACTTCTCACTGGTCTCCCAGCTTCAGTTTCTTCCATCTTTAAAACATTAGAGTGCTACCAGCAGTTATTCACCTAAAATGTGATTCCGATCATGTTCTAGATGAAGTTCTGAGTCAACATTGACTATAATGTCCAAACTCCTTAGCATGGGAAATGCCTACACAGCACTGAGCTGAAACCTACATTCCCTGGGTCTCATGTTCCACCATCTCCTAATCTTTTATTTGTTCACCTATTCTACTTTCTACATATGTCTATCATCAAATTTACCATGATCTACATATTTATTTCACCATTAAACTATCCTTCCAGATGGTAAGGAGCCATTTTGCATTCATTTCTCTATCCTTGATTATTTAGAAACACTAAGTACATGCATGCCACACAGGCAATATAAAGAGGAAAAACCTGGTAGGTTTTTCAAGGAATTGGTTTTGATTTTGAACATAGAACAACAATCTCAATATGCTACACTAGTTTTACTGACTGATGGCTGGGCTGTCTTGATTCTAATAAACATCAGTTTGTTAAAATTGCAAATTCCTAAGCAACACTGCAAATGAAATCAGTATGGGGCTAAGGTTTAGAAATGTGTATTTTAGTTCCATTAGTTGGTAAGGGTATAAAACTTTTAGCCTAATTAGAACAGAAAGAAACTTCAAATTTGTAACGGAGGCTTAAAATAACTAACGAATGCTAATGCCCTACTTGGACTCCTGGTGTGGTGCTGTGGGTTAATGAGCTGGACTCTAACGTTGGTTTGAACCGCCAGATTGGTGGTTCAAGCTCATTAACTACTTCTTGGAAACCTTATACAGGGTCACTATAAGTGGGAACTGACTCAATGGCACTTAATGATCAAAGAATAACTGCATTCCCCCTTTAAGGAAAAAAAATAAAAGCAAAGATCTCTGTTCTATGACAGGGAACCTAGGAAGCCTCCTGGAAAAAGACTTATAAGGAAACAATGGACTTTGTATTGAGGACAAGGGCTTTCTTTGGTTCTTTACTGTATATGACTGGGACATATACGATAGGCACTCAGTAAATGTTTACTGAGTGGATTCTCTGCTGTGGATACTTTCTAAGAACTGTAGGCCCATGTTGTAGTTGTTATGTCCTGTAAAACTGGTTCCAACTTATAGCGGCTGGTGGATTTGAACAGCTGACCTTGTGGCTCACGCAAGTTTGCAGTACACTGCTTATCTTACAACACATCAGGATTCCTCATGTTCCCTTGTAAAGGCCCCTAAGGAGCTATGATGGGCCCAGCTAAGGTCCTAATGTGGGCCAATCCCAATACCTGCTACTTTACTTCTCCAAGTCTCTCAGAAACAGGGCGTCCTAGGGGACCTCTTGGAATGTGAAAGCATTAATTACAAGACTTTGCCCATTTTATAGTCTCTTTACTGTAAACAGGCCACTCATAAGATTTCTGTATTTTGCTTCTTTGTAAAATGTTTCATTTGCTAACTAGTTCTGCCTACCTAGGAAGATTACCTTTGCCTTGCGGGCAGAGAACACAGCCCCTGGAAGGATCTGGAACAGGGATTTCTGTCCGGATGTGGCGCTGTGGGTTAATGCGCCAGATTGCAAAGCTGTTTGAACTACAAGGTTGGTGGTTCAAGCTCACCAGTCGCTCCTTGGAAACCCTAAACAGGGTTGCTATGGGTTGGAACCGACTCCACAGCACTTAACAACAACAACCCATGCAAGACATCCCAGTCTAAGTTTTTGCTGTCCCTACAGGAGTCCTGATGTGGCACTGTGGGTTAATGTGTCAGACTGCAAAGTTGTTTGAACTGCAAGGTCGGTGGTTCAAGCTCACCAGCTGCTCTCTGGAAACCCTATACAGGGTCGCTAAGGGTCGGAATCGACTTGATGGAACTTTTACAACAACAACAAGAAGCAGTGGAATACATCTTGAAGCAATGCTGCACACATCCAGTTACATGGCCTCTCCTAAATGGGTCATATCCCAGAAATACCAGCCTATCTCTATGAGTAATAAGCTCACCCCTTTTCCCCACCCCAAATATTTTTGTTATTGTTGTTGTTAAGTGCCATCGAATCGATCCAATGTTTATCCTACAGGGACACCAAGGCTTCTTTCAAAACTCAACAGGAAGAAAAAAAGCTTTTTAAAGAGTAAGAGACACACAAAATATTTCACCTGTGACAATATATGGATGGTAGTGAGGATGTGAAGAAACTGAACACAAACATTGCAGTAGTACTCTGAAAACAGTCGGGCTAAAAAGTTACTTTGAAAATGAAACATTTACTATACAATCTAGGAATCTCACGCCTGCACATGCATTCCTCTCTTGCCCCATATGAAAACTTATGTCCAACAGAAATCTATACAAAGGTGCTCCTATCAGTTTTATCTGTAAAATAGAAAACTCTGTAACAGTCTAAGTATCCTCTAGTGGAGAAGGTGAAACACTGTGGCATATTCATATTATGGATACTACTCAGTAACAGAAGGAAAGAACTATGGGCACACACAATTTGATAGATCTCAAGGGCATTATGCTGAATGAGAGTCATTCTCAAAAGATCACATACTGCATAATTCCATTTACATAATACGCTGGAAATAAAAGAAGATTTTAGAGACGGGACGGTGGTGGCCACACAGATCTATACATATTTTAGATACTGTACCACAGTACCACAGGAGCTCTGGTAGCGTAGTCGTTATAACTCGCGCTGCAAACCTCAAGGTAAGCAGTTCAAAACTATCTGCTGTTCCGTGGGAGAAAGATGAAGCTTTCTGCTCCCTTAAAGATTTACAGCTTCGGAAACCCTGTACAGGGTCGCTATGAGTCGGAACCAACTCCACGGCACATAACCACCACAACCACAATATGTAACACATTACTATATGTTACTTTACTCAGGAAAACTGAGTAAAGGTCTGTGGGACCATTCTGTATTATTTCTGCAACTTACGGTGACTATAATCATTTAAAAATTAAAAGATAAATGTAAGAACCAAATTCATTTGTCCCACTACCAACCTGAATACTGATATGCATCATGTTTGTTTGAAAATATGCATTTCATGTGGAAAGAATCATTCGTGACTTGCAATAGGGAACACTATATTAATTTTCTTTCAATAAACAATGTATGTTATTGCTATAAACCATCAAGTTGGTTCTGACTCCAGCAACTCTGTACAGGGTTTCCGGAGTGGCTGGTGGACTTGAACTGCCAACCTTATGGTTACTAATCCACACCAGACTGAGACTAGGGAACATGTTAAAAATGCTTTTATGGGTTCCATACCTAAGGAATTCTGATTCAGTAATTTGGTGATAAGTTTAGTAATTGCTCTTTCAAAATGCATGTGATTCTGAGACAGTTGACCAGGCTCTGAGAACCAATATGGAAGCAACGAAAACTGTTTCCAATGAAACTCATTTTTTTTGGATAAGGGAAGTAACACAGGTCAAAAGACGACCTGAAATTTATTCAGAGACAGTACAGAGGTAGAGGACAATATAAAGCTACTGGAAGTATTTATATTAAACATAATTTGTGTCTTACACATTTACAAAGAGAAGGGGAGAAGCTTGAAAATACAGTGCATTCGCTAAGCTTTTACTGAGAGTTTCCTAAGGGTTTAAAATACATATAAACAAGTACAAGAAAATATTTACTCCCTATGCTTCTTAACTTCAAGGCATTCAAAGGCTCTATCTATAATGGAAGCAACCAGCATCATAAACAGTTAAGGAAAAAGTGTTAAGCACTTAAATAGAAACCACTTGACTTGTTATTTGAGAAAAACAAGTGTTAAAGAAACAGGGTTATTATTAAAGAATTACAAGTTTCTTTATTATTAAAGAAACACGTATTAAAGAAATTGAGTTAAAACTCAATTCCCTGCTATCCTAAAAATTCAAAACTATAATGCACCTACTCCTCACTTATCAGCTATCTCATTAGCAGACATTTTGCTTTTACATTAGTTCCCTCCTGCTGGCACCAGGCCCAACTGTCATACACGGTAGCCTCTTCTGTGGCTTTGCAGAACCAGCAGGCATCAGAGAGGTGTTTGGAAGAAATGTGTACGAATTTAATGACATCCCAAAGTGAACAAAACTGGGACTGAAGCCTCCGCTTGGTGAGGCTCCTAGGCCAGGCTCTCAGCATCCTGTAGGAAGCCTTGAGCCTCAGTGACTCATCACGCCTATAGGGCAGAATAGGATCAGACCCAGACCTGGGAGTAGAGTCCCAGAAACAGCTCCTTGAGGGAAGCGCTGACCCAGCCCAGGAGGAAGGTGAAGTATTGAAGTCATGAGCCCTTCTATTCACACAGCTGGCTTTATCCAGCTTTGTCTCTTCTAAGACCTTCTTGGTAGACAAATCATCCAAAACTGGACTTGACACAATGATGAGCAATCTTAGTGTTACTGTATCTATGATCATTATTTTCTAAATAATAGTTTTTAAGTTAGACATACAGATAGTCTGAAAATAGAAAAAAAAAAAAAAAGCCTCCATTTTTGTATAATGTTGATTTCCGCATACTAACCTGGTCTTTGGAAGTTTAACCATATCAGTAATTATAATTTCCTTGATCCCTATCTTCAACCATGCCTTCTCTAAAGCAGGGTTTTAATATTTGTTCATTGTTCCCTTTCCTGCACTCCCACCCCATAAAACCTTTTTCCATCTGATTATCATTCTATCACACAAGCAAAGGGAGCAAGGAAACGTTTCCAACATTTATTGGCATACAAGTCGATAAATGAATTTAACTTAAAGATGTAAGTTCTACAAAAAAAAAATCTGTAGTTTTACCAACTCACCTTTCCAGCTACAAATGGCATATCACCCAAGCATAATCTATAATGTGGTTGTGCAGCAAAATAGTTTCTAGAACCTCTCTGAATGAAAAGGAAAAAAAAAAAAGTTACTCTTATGCTGATAAAAACTAATACGACTAACCTGAAACTTCGGCTTAATACTGAGCAATTACTTACCTTATATAGACTGACAGACATTATGGTATCAACCACCTAATAATATTCATCAACAAGTATTCAGTACTAACTAGGAAAGGTCAGGAAAGAAAAAAATGGAGCCAAACAAAAAAGCATTTACATTGTGAGAAACTGTGTGTACAAGTATGCCTGTATGAACACACAGAAACATTTTAAGGGCAAATGGTAATTAATATTACTGAATAATATTAAAATTCATTCAGTACTTTATGGACCAAAATATTTTCGTATGTATTATCTTAATTTGTTGCTGTTGTTAAGTCTGTGGAATCACTTCCTATATAGGGTTTCTGAGGAGCAGTTGGTGGAGCTTGAATGAACCCTGCAGTTCAAACCAACACTGCGTTTGAGTGCTTATCCTACCAGGGGAAATTTAGAAGTAGATAATGTCGACATTTATAGATTCAAAGTGCTTTCATTTCATATATATATTAACTTAATGCATATTAAGATAATATTAAGATTATATAATTATCTACTTGTGAAGTTGTTGTGAAGTGCTGTCGAGTTGGTTCCGACCCATAGCGACCCTGTATAGAGTTTCCAAGGAGCAGCTGGTAAGCTAGAGCCGCCGACTCTGAAGTTCAAATGGCTTTGCAGTCTGGTTTATTAACACACAGCGCCACACCAGGACTCCATTATCTACTTAGAAGTAGATATTTATCTTCATTGTTAAAATGAGAAAAGAAAATCTTCATTTTAAAATGAGAGAAGGAAAGATTTACTTTCCCAAGGTTGTCGTACCACACAGTTTATGAGTGTTTTGACATATATTACATCAAGTAATAGTCTTCATTCTGATTTATCTGATGCTGTTTTCATACCTTTTCTGGTGGTTTTGACTTCTTTTTTTTAATTCTTCTTGTACTGGCAACAATCGGAGATGTTTTATCTTCAAAGATAAGCCTATTTGTTTCTAGACCAGTCTGCAACTAGGAAAAATAAAAGAATCTAAAATTAGTGACATAGAAATAAAAACTAATTAAAATCTGAGATGTACCATGTAAAAGACCAATAAAAAGAAATGGTAGTATCTGGCTGAAAAAAACAAGTCACAGCTATTTACTAACATTTGGTAAGTATTTTAAATCAGTACTAGGCTTTCACTTTTTATCTTCAACTGCTATTTCTTATATATATAGGGCAGAAATTACACTGTACAATTACAAAGATTTTCAAAAAAAGTACTCCCTTACCTTAGACTACTTTCAAGTTTCCTTCTATAAAAAAGAAAACTTAAAGAGAACAGTGTTTTCAAAGTTGCCTCTGTATCAAAAATGCCTGAGATTTATAAGAAAAATTCAGATGTCTAGCTCCTCTCCAAAGCTCATGATTCTGAACAACTCAGGTTAGGGAATTCCGTATTTTAAAAGTTCTCCAAGAAATTATGATGTAACTGAACACTCAAAACTCCTCAGTCAGTCACAGAAATCTGAGATTATTAATACCTCCCTATTTAGTGCAGTGTTTGTGGACCAACTCTATTTAGAGACCCCATGCAGCTTTTTCTTCAGCAGTTACCTATATAATTCCACACACCGTGCTGCAGAGTAAGCACTGGACTGCTAACCACGAGGTCGGTGGTTCAAACTCACCAGCTACTCAATTGAAACTCAATTAGAGTCGGAATTGACTCAGTGGCACTTAATTACAATTCTTTATATGTAGTAAATTGACTAGTTAAAATTAAATGAATAAGAAATTACTACTGTAGAAGACCTATGATATGAGTAAGTGTGAACAGAACAAACTTTGAGTCCTGAACTTCCAGCTTATTTAGTACTTTTTTGTTCCCTAAAGTCAAAGAACATTTAAAAACAACACAATCTGAGTTCCACAATGAAGTCAAAACTGCCATTTTGATGTGGTGTTCACTGAAGAGCGCAGAATTTGGGGAAGGATTAGACAGATGGAAACACTGCCTTCAGAAGTATACAGACTCATTTGTGAGAAACAATTTACTACACATATTTTTATTTTTGTTTCTATGATTTTGTAGTAATACTTTCTAACACACACACATGGAACTCTGGTAACGCAGTAGTTACGAATTGGGTTGCTAACTTCAAGGTTGGCAGTTTGAACCTACCAGGTGTCACACGCAGGAGAAAGATGAGGGTTACTGCTCCCATAAAGACCTGCAGCCTCGGAAACCCTGTGCAGGTTCACTATGAGTTGGAACTGACTCCATGGTACTTAACAACTATACACACACACACACACACACACATACATACGTATACATATGGTGATAGTGTGCCATAGAGTCGGTTCCGACTCATAGCGACCCTATAGAGGGTTTCTGAGGCTACAAATTTTACAGGAACAGAAAGCCTTGTCTTTCTCCGTGGAAAAGCTAGTAGTTTCGAACTGCTGACCCTGAGGTTAGCAGCCCAATTCGTAACCATGACACTACCAGAGCTCCTTACACACACACACACGTGTGTATAATATATATATCATAAATATATATGTTGTTGTTAAGTGTCGTTGAGTTAGTTCTGACTCATAATGACCCTGTACAGGGTTTCTGAGAAGCAGCTGGTTCAAACTGACCTTGCAGTCCAGTGCATTACCCTACAGTGCCACACCAGGAGTATATGTGTGTGTGTATATGTATATATGTATGTATAAATATAGATATAGATAGATATAGATATATGTAGATAGAGATTAATCAGAAGGAAAATTCTTAACTGGTTTAATATAAAAAAAACTATGCTAACTTTACTTCAGAGACCTACTGGAGCAGATAAAAATGTAAAATTGTTTATAAACCTGGTTTCATATACAGAAGGACACAATTGGCATTTGACCATAGACTGTCCTTCAGAGGTGAAACTTCTGATTGTTTTGGAATCAGAACCTACATCTTGTACTAGTAGTACAATGAGATAATAATTATTATTGAGAAAAAGGACATGCAAATGTTATACAACACCTTGGAAGGGCGTAACACCTGGAAGGTATGTGAGCAAAATAAAAGTTCATAGGGAGAAGCGTCTTCAGTTATAAACAGCAGTGTTTTATTGAGATAGGAAGACTCTTGTAGGGATACTATCGTTTTACTCTGTCTTTTAGAAATGTGGCTCTGCTTTGTACATATATTTTACTCAATGTTTTTGAGAATACATCCGCTTTATCTATTCCATCCAGTGTCTATTCATGAGATGAAATCCTACACTATTTTCCTGACACTGTGGTTTTAGAACTGACATGAATCTCTAGCTACAGGGGAAGCCCACTACACCTCAGGTTTTGTCCTGGTATCTTAAGGCCAGCACGGTAAAAAAATAAATAAATAAACAGGTTATTGAACAATGGCTTTTGAATATTTTTGACAGCGACCTATGGTAAGAAATCAGTTTCACTTGATTACTTACCTTATTATGTATACTGTTATTGTGTGTTATTGAATTAATTTAACTCAAAGTGACTCAAAGAACTGCTTATAGGCTTCCTATGAGTCTTTTGGGAGTCCTGGTGTGGGGCTGTGGGTTAATGTGCCAGACTGCAAAACCATTTGAACTGCAAAGTCAGTGGTTCAAGCTCACCAGCTGCTTATTGGAAACCCTATACAGGTCACTATGGGTCGGATCGACTCAACCACTTAACAACAACAACATGAGTCTTTTACTTTTCTCCTACAGAACTCAAGATTTTACCACTGTACCACCAGAGCTCTTTGATTATGTGTATATAGTCCTTGGAGTCCTGGTGTGGTGGTGTGGGTTAATGCACTGAACTACAAGGTCAGTTTGAACTGTAAGGTCAGCGTTTCAAGTTTCACCAGCCGCTCCTCGGAAATCCTATACGGAGTTGCTATGAGTCAAAACTGACTTAACAACAACAATACAGTCCTTGATGTTTTCTAGTCTACTGATTTTTTTGGTAAATGCTGATTGAAACCCCACAGTTTGAGAAACATTAATAAGTGTTAGGCTGCTAATTGCAGTTAAAACCCATAGCTGTTCTCAAAGAGGTTGCTCTCGTAAAGATATACAATCTTACACACCCTATACAGGGTTACTCTGAGTTAGACACCAACTCAATGGCAGTGGGTTTCGGTTTTAGTTTTATACTACAAAATTACTCAAAGTTTGCTTTTTTCCTTTAATAGGGACTATGTATAGGGTTTCCAAGGAGTGGCTCGTAGTTTGCAGTGCCGACCTTGTGGTCCTGTGCTTTATCCTACAGTGCCACATCAGGACTTCACATCTTATAGATGAATCTAAAACATACGCAATCTGAGATACCCAAATTTAATCATCTGTTAATTTATAAATGGTGAAAATACGAAGAGCCTACGTATTAATGTTTCAACTTACCTGGGCTGCCTTAACTTGCATACGTTTCCTTTCTTGTTCTTCTTCACGGAGCTTTGCTTCTAACTCTTGCATTTTTTTCTAATGTTAAAAATATTAAACAGTAGAAGCAAGGTCTTAATGTCTATTTGTATAATTTTAACATAGAAACTAAGAAATGTCTTAAAATTTTAACATACTAAATATAAATTTGTGAGTTTACATTACTGCAGTACTGACTCTGTACTCATGCCAGCATCCATGACACTCTCAGCATTATGTTCTATCATTTGTGAGGTAGTTAGATGGAACTGTGGGTACAATCTACGGTCAGAGAACAGAACTCTGTATGAAAGTATATAGTCTATATGGAGGCTGAATGGTAAACTTTAGTCTCTGCAGTACCAAATTCCTCCCAAGTGAATTAAATTAAACTAAAATTAGTTCAGAAAATAGCTTAAACCAAGTAATGCAAAGCCATAAGTATTCTATGAAACATTCAACGTTTTCAAAAAGAACTCCTTACTGATTCCCATCAAGAATGTTTAATATAATTATTTTTTCCTTATTTACATTTGCTTATTTACATATTTGTTTGCAAAAAGATGATCCTGAGAGAAAGACACATATACTGACTTCTGCAAGGGCTTGCATAGTGGTGAGTTTGTTATACTCCTGTTCAAGAAGATCCAATTTCTCAAGTTTGGTATGAACATGAGTTTGATCTTGTTGTCGTTCTCTTTCTAAGGAAACCTGGGAAACAATGTGAAATATAGCATGATAATAATCTGACAATCAAGAAATATAAAAACAACTAACACTTATGCATCTTAGACTACAACACAGTTATTTGTCTGGCTTTCCACAAACGACTGAATATATACTACAGACGATTCCTAGGAAAACAATATTAAGTTGAAACAACAGGAACATAATAAAAAACAAATATAAGCCAAATCCTAGATGCTGTGTTTATAACATGCACATACAGCCTTTGGTTCTATATGTTGTTGTTGTTGTTAAGTGCCGTAGAGTCGGTTCCGACTCATAGCGACCCTGTACAGGGTTTCCACGGCTGTAAATCTTTACGGGAGGAGAAAACCTCATCTTTCTCCCGTGGAACAGCTGGTAGTTTCGAACTGCAGACCATGAGGTTCGCAGCCCGATTCATAACCAATATATATATATATATATATATATATAGTGAGACTATGATCATACCCTGGGACAACAGGGATTTATTGTTTATCCACACATACCTACTCTCAATTAACCAGATCCTCTTAAGCAGTTAACCTCTTAAGATAATAAGTATGGCTTTAATACCATTTACACCACTTCTAAAGAAACTCTAGTAGCATAGTGGTTACAAATTTGGCTGCTAACCTCAGGGTCTGCGGTTCGAAACTACCTGCTGTTCCGCAGGAAAAAGATGAAGTTTTCTGTTCCAGTAAAGATTTATAGCCTCGGAAACCCTGTACAGGGTCGCTATGAGTCAGAACCGACTCCACGGCACATAACAACAACACTTCTAAATTCTATGCAAATCATCCTTTTTTATATCCTTGTTTTCTCAAATTTAGGGTCAAGAACTTGAAGACTGTATCCTAGAAGTTGTGAAGGATTTACAGTAATAGAATAAACCATTAAGCAAAGAGTAGAAATATGCTAAGTGAGGTCTGTTGTTGAAGCTGAATGCCCTAAGAGGTAGGTTCTGACTCACTGGGATATCCTCCTATAGGGTCTCTGAGGAGCTGCTGGTGGGTCTGATGCACTGACCTTGAGGTGCTTATTATAATACAGTGCTCATTCTACAGCACCGCACTAGGACTCTGAATGAGGCATAGTAGTAAATACCCAAAATATTAAGTAACTAAACTTAATCTCTTTGATATCTCATGCAAGTAAAGTTTTGCTCAAGGTAATACAGAAATGGCTACAATCATACATTGACAGAAAACTTCCAGAGGTTCAAGCCGGATTCAGAAGAGGCCGTGGAACGAGGGATATCATTGCTGATGTCCGATGGATCTTGGCTGAAATCAGAGAGTATCAAAAAGATGTTTACCTGTGCTTTATTGACTACACAAAGGCTTTTGAATGTGTGGATCATGATAAGCTATGGACAACATTGTGAAGTATGAGTATTCCGGAACACTTAATTATGCTCATGAGGAATCTGTACCTGGACCAAGAGGCAGTTGTTCAAACAGAACATGGGAACACTGAATGGTTTAAAATTACAAAAAGTGTGTGACAAGGTTGTATTCTTTCACCATATTTATTCAACCTGTATGCTGAGTAAATAATCCAAGAAGCTGGGTTATATGAAGGAAAACGTGGCATCAGAAATGGAGGAAGACTCATAAACAGCCTGCAATATGCAGATGATACAACCTTGCTTGCTAAAAGCTAAGAGGACTTAAAACATTTACTGAAGATCAAAGAGCACAGCCTTTGGTATGGATTACTACTCAATGTTAAGAAAACAAAAATCTTCACCACTGAACCAATAAACAACATTCTTATCAACGGAGAAAAGAATGAAAGTTGTCAAGAACTTCATTCTTCTTGGATCAACTATCAACACTCATGGAAGCAGCAGTCAAGAAATCAAACGACATATTGCATTAAGCAAATCTGCTGCACAAGACCTTTTTAAAGTGTTGAAGAGCAAAGATGTCAGCTTGAGGACTAATGTGCGCCTGACCGAAGCCATGGTATTTTCAATAACCTCATATGCATGCAAAAGTTAGACAGTGAATAAGGAAGACCATAGAAGAATTGATGCTTTTGAGTTATGGTGTTGGAGGAAAATACTGAAAGTGCCATGGGCTGCCAAAAGAACCAACAGATCCATTTTGGAAGAAGTGCAGCCAGAATGCTCCTTGGAGGCCAAGATGATTAAACTTTGTCTCTCATACTTGGGACACATTGTCAGGAGGGACCAGTCGCTGGAGAAGGATATCATGTTTGGTAAGGTGGAGGGTCAGAGAAAAAGAGGAAGACCCCCAACGAGATGGATTGGCCAAGTGGCAGCATCAATGGACTCAAATGTGGCAACAATAGTGAGGTTGGCCCAGGATCAGGCAGTGTTTCGTTCTGCTGTGCATAAGGTCGCTATGGGTCGGTACTGACTCGATGGCATCTAACAACAACAACAAACTTAATTTATCTTCATACACAAGTCTACAGCAATGGTGGTGGTGGTGGTGGTAGTAACATGCCATGGAGTCGATTCCAACTCATAGCATAGGGTTTCAGAGGTTTTAAACTGTTACAGGAGCAGAAAACTTCATCTTTCTCCCATGGAACAGAAGCAGTTTTGAACTGCTGACCTTGAGGTTAGCAGCCCAACTCGTAACCACTATGCTACCGGAGCTCCTTACAGCAATAGTTACTTAATAGAGTTTGAATAGGACAAAGCAATATAAACAAATGTTTTCAGAAATTTGTGTAAATTACTAAACAACTCAATAGATTTTCACAACTCTTTAAAAGAATACATTAATTTAAAATTGGCACATGCCATGCTTTGTTTCCAACACTGGAACTCTCTGAATAATAACTATCTTTATTAAAATGTCAAAATCTTACTGATGAAAAAAGTGTCACCATTTTAAGACGTATATATTAGACTAGAAATCCTGGTGTGGCACTGTGGGTTAACGTGCTGGACTGCAAAGCCGATTTGAACTGCAAGGTTGGCAGATGAAGCTCACCAGCTGCTCCTTGGAAACCCTATCCTATACAGGATCACTATGGGTCATAACAGACTAGACAGCACTTAACAATAACAATATTAGTTTAAGAGTTGACTTTCCAGATATATTTAGTTAAGCCATCTTACTGTTGTCCTAAAAATGCTTTATTATCTTGTCACTGGAATATTCCAATGACCCCCAGTACCACCCCATCTCATCCACTGTACAGAAATATTGATGAAACACAGTAACAACAAATTATTACATAGTATAAATTTGAAGCAAAAAAAATTACACTCTCCAGTTGCAAAAAAAAAGGAACTCAAAGGCAGAACTGAAGATGGGCAGGAACACAATATAAAACCTCAGGCCATGTGCAATCAGCATGATGCAAGAACCATAAAGGAATACATTTACATAAAGTCAGAGGAAAAGCAATGAATTCCAATAAGTTACTTATATATATACTGAAGGAGTATGGGATTTCCATGAAAAACAACTCTCAAGAATATGAATTCACTATTGTAGTTTGCATTAAGAAACAAAACATCCTAATGGCACAAATGAGTAAAATCATTCTAAGAATTTCAAATAATTGAGGCAGCCTTTCAAATACTGTTACATAATTGTTCAAATATTTCTTAGCTTGTTTCTGACTAGAATTGAAAGCTGATGAGGATACCTAGCATATATAATTTCTCTTTTACATTGCATTTGTTGTTGTTAGTGTCAGGTGACATCGAGTTGGTACAACTCATAGAGACCCTATACACAAAAGAACAAACCACTGTCCAGTCCTGCGCCAACCTCACAATTGTTGCTACGCTTGAGCCCATTGCTACTACCACTGTGCCAATGCATCTTGTTGGGAGTCTTCCTCTTTTCTCCGACCCTCCACTTTACCAAACATGATATCCTGCTCCAGGGACTGGTCATTCCTGATAATATGTCTGAAGTATGAGAGACAAATTCTAGCAATCCTAGCTTTCAAAGAGCATTCTGGATTTATTTCTTCCAACACAGATACGTTTTGTTCTTTTTGCAGCCCACAGTACTTTTAATATTCTCCTCCAACACCACAACTCAAATGCATCAATTCTTTTAAGGTCTTACTTATTCACTGTCCAACTTTCGCATGCATATGAGGTTATTGAAAATACCATGGCTCGGGTCAGGCGTACCTTAGTCGTCAAATTGACATCTTTGCTCTTGAACACTTTAAAAAGGTCTTGTATAGAAGATTTGCATAATGCAATCGGTCGTTTGGTTTCTTAACTGCTTTTTCCATGGGTGTTGATGGTTGATCCAAACAGAACGAAGACTTTGATACCTTCAATCTTTTCTCCATTTATATGGATGTTATTTATTTGTCCAGTGGTGAGGGCTTTTGTTTTCTTTACACTGAGGTATAACCCATACTGAAGGCTGTGGTGTTTGATTTTCATCAGTAAATATTTTAAGTCCTTTTAGCTTTTAGCAAGCAAGGTTGTATCATCTGCATATTGCAGGTTGTTAGAGAGTCTTCCTCCAATCCTGATGCCACATATTGTATTTCTTCATATAATCTCTCAGATTATTTGCTCAGCATACAGATAGAATAAGTATGGTAAAAGAATACAACCATGGCATACACCTTTCATAATTTTAAACCATTCAGTGTTCCCTTGTTCTGTTTGAACAACTTCCTCTTGGTCTATGTATAGGTTCCTCATGAGCACAATTAGAAGTTCTAGAATTTTCATTTTCTGCAATGTTATCCATAGTTTTTCATGATCCACACAATCGAAAGCCTTTGCATAGTCAATAAAGCACAGGCAAACATCTTTCTGGTATTCTCTATTTTTAGCCAAGATCCACCTGATATCAGTAATGATTTATTTTGTTCCATGTCCTCTTCTGAATCTTGCTTGAGCCTCTGGAAGTTCTCTGCATTTAGCAGTATTTAAGTCTTGAATTAAGAAAGTCAAGGTGCCCAGAAACTGCTATTCATAATAAATTTAAATTCTAAGCGCATAATAAGAAGTCAAAAATGCAAAAAAAAATTTATATTTGAGACTGACACTGCAGATATTCTCTTATAAAAGTGCCAGTTATATACAGAGTCCAATTAACTTCAACCCTGTACAAAACGAGATGGATACACTGCAGAGGATATAGTAGTACATGTGTCGAAAACGAAACATGTCTAACAGCTATGCTGAAAGAAACAATAAATCACTATCTTTTTCAAAGCCTAGACTAGTTTGTTTTCCAAAACGAACTTCTAGTATTAACAGTAGTATCTGGTAGTGTAGTGGTTACGAATCGGGCTGCGAACCTTAAGGTCAGCGGTTCGAAACTACCAGCCGCTCCGCGGGAGAAAGATGAGGCTTTCTACTCCCGTAAAGATTTACACCCTCAGAAACCCTGTACAGGGTCGCTATGGGTCGGAACCGACTCGACGGCACTAAACAACAACAACAACATCTTTAGATCACTTAAGAGGAGATAGGATTATAATGACAATAGTATTATTAGTCACTGAGAAAAAGGTCTGTACTTCACTTTCATTTTCTCTGTAACTGTTAGTGTAAGAAATCTGTGAGGTGCCATACCTGTTTCTCTAAGACAGATGTCCTCTCCATTTCTGCATGCTTTATCATATTTCTCATGTATTCCAGTTGTTTTTCTAAAAGATTACATTTACTTTCTGCAGCTAACAACTGAGAAGCCAGTTCTGGAAGAAAACACAAGAAGCAGGAATTAGCAGACTTGCAGAATAGTTATAAATAAGCTTTTTCAACAGAAACTAAATCTTCTGTTTACATAATAAACCTTCTACTAGTTCTAGATGTGTTTTCAGATCACCTAAGCGAGTCTCTGTCTATATACCAGTCAAATTGCCTTGCCTTCAGTTAGTAAGTGTAATGCAGGTCATCAGCAGTTACTTCTCAAAATGCACCTGAGTACAATCAACGCATTTTATATCGTCCAGCAAACAAACAGTAATATAGAATACTACAATAATTTTACACCTACTTTTGATACATACTATTTTGCTTCATTCATAATTAAAACAAACCTTGATTGTGCTTTGATTCCTCATTCTTTGAATTTTCCCTTTCCTGTATTTGTTCATCCAGTACTTTCTTGTATTCACTTGTTTCTCTAGACAAAGTTTTCACACTTTCTTCTGCCTGAATTCTTTCAAGTTCCAAACGTCGAATCTTCTCTTGAAGATTCTTCAAAGCAGAAAATATGGCTGAAAAACACAAACACCAATGTTATCAGGTAATGCTATATACTGAGAAAGTTCACTAAAAATGAAAACCAAAAAAAACTTATTCAAATAAAAAATAAAATTGATGAGTCCAATGAAGGATCACTTTTGGGAACAATAAAATGTTTATTATCTCAAAGTAACTTAAAATATCCACTTATTGAATATCTTTGAATCTCTGAAATGTGTTCGGTACTTAGGTTAAAAAAACAAAAAAAAATTATTATGGAAAAAACACTTTAAAGATTATATAAAATTCATATAACTGTTCAAAGAGCACCAACTATCTTAATTTTTTCCTGTCTCTTTTACTCTTTTTTTTTTATTTTAATTTTTAAGACATATGTTTTTAATCATTCAAGTGAGAGAAGATAGAAGGATCATTTTTCTAAACATAAAAAAAGATTTTTGCCTTATTTTTCACAGCAAATTTTTTTTCTGTAATAAATCTTTTATTTTTAACTTTTGGGTTTTTTTTTTTTGTTGCCACTTTTATAGTATCCATAAGTTTTCCATTCTATTTTTTTTTTGAATGTTTTATTGTGAATTATGTAATAGTTTACATGAGAGAACATTAGTTTTACATTCATCCTATTGCATATCATTTCATTGCCAAGGTTACAATCCCCTCCATGCATCATCAACCAACCAAATATATACTACAAGCCTTCTCCCTGGTCGTCAGCACACAGCCCCTCTCTCTCCACGTCATCCTCTCTGCCTCCATCTCAGGCATCACTGCTTCTCTGAGTAGTGTCCCGCTCTCTGCTCTTCTCCCTTGATGGTCCCTGGGACCTCCGCTCCTAGACTGAAAAGTTAATCATTCCCCTCCTTGCTACAAAACGTCTCCTTTACATTTCCAACCCTCACAATCAGTTCTGATAACAATTATTCACTATTGTATGACAAGAGACCCACCCACATTTCATTTTACCCCCTGGACAGACTGGATACTACTCACTGGAGATTCTACCTTCCTCCTCGCCCTCTGAATCTAGGTTCCCTCTTGACAGCTGGTAAGCCAGTCACTTCTTGCCTTTTTAGTCCCCCCATTTTGGGTAGCCAATATCCAAGTTGCCCATCCCTATCCACTCTGTGTATAGAGGGGGTAGAAATGATCCTTGCTGTTGTTCCCTCTTTTGAGCTGCTGCATCCATATGTGTAGGTCAAGTTCATCAAATTGCATCAGATTACTCTTTATTTCCTCTTTCTTTCTTCTTCTAGTTGAGCTCTGATCATCCAGTCATTGAAGCCAGGTCAAGTAGGTAGTGTCTGTAAGTGAGGGTGTTCTTGTGCATATGCCCTCTCTTATCAGCTGGATGCTTCACTCTCTACTCTAGTCCTCTGTGGCTATGTCACTGACTCTGGGCTCAAGAGTCCCCAGGTCTTGCCACACTGCTGACCAGGTCACCACCTGGGTTCACAGGAGTCTATTGAACATTGTAGGGCTTTGCTTGCAGCTTCATTGCTGTTTTCCCCTCACTTCCCTTTATCAGTGACGAACGTGGTCACCAATCAGAGTGCATGTCTGCTTGTGTATTCCCATTGAGTCTTAGAAGTCTTTGATGGGGGGTTGCCCAGAGGGGATCTGACCACTTGCCTTGATGTCTCCTGGGCAAGCAATTTGCATGTTCTTGTAGTAATCAGTTGGACTGCCTATATTGTTTTATATTTTTCCTGTAGGTCTTTCTTTCAGTAAGTATCTTATGTTCTTCTAGCCGCTCCAGGCTGGTCTGCTCGTCCTTTCAAGTGGGAATTTCTCATCTCTGAAGATCTGGATGTGGTTCAGGATTACACCTAGTCTTATATAATGCAGAGGCTCCACAGGAAGCCTCCTTAACTGGGCACATTACAGCCCCATTTTAGGTATTCTAATCAGTTATAGGCAGAAGAGTGACTTACAAGCTTTCTATGGTGATGTTTCTGGGTATTCCTTTCTCTTCTCCTCCAGTATCTATTTTATAATATAATGCAAGGAAAACCAAGATTCAAAAGACAGCCAAGGATCTTAACATTACTCCCTCCTTTTCCCCATTCCAACCATGTCTCAATCTCTGAATCCCAGAGTACTGTTGTTCCAAGGTTGTACACACATCATTACTTACCTCTGTTCCACTTAGCCCATGCAAACCTGCCTAATTGTTCTCTCATCTTCTTTGTTCTTCCATTCCCCTCTCCCTTCTTGTATATCGCCCCCCCTCCCCAGCACCCAAACTATCCTGTGTCTATTCCCTGTTCTGTGCTCCACCTTCTGTTCCCTCTCCTCAACCCCCTCCCCACATCCCAGCAATCAGCAAAGAATCCACCCCCCTTTAGTATGGATTCCTTTTCTTAGTCTTTTACAGTAGCGGTCTTATGCAGTATTTCTCCTTTTGTGACTAACTTCACTCAACATAAAGTCCTAAAGGTTCATCCATGTTAAGCGGTGGCTTGCAGCTTCCTTGTTATTTTTCAAGGTAGCATAGTATTCCATTGTGTGTATGTACCACACTTTGTTTATCCATTCTTCAGAATATAACAGTACAATTAAAAACAGTTGGTGGGTAATATACAATAAACACTAGACTGCTAAGCACAAGGTCAGTGGTTAAGACCCACTTACTGCTCCTTAACATACTCTATAAAGGTTGGTATGAGTTAGAATTGGCTTGACAACACTTACTCACACACACAAAAAGAACTACCATTTTTTCCAGTATTTAGGAAAAAAATTAAATGTTCTCTAAATGCTCCCTAAAATATTTGTCTGATTATAAAAGTAGTTAAGTATTCACTCAGAAAATACAGAAGAGACAGGAATACATAATGAAGAAAAGAAGACATAACTCTCCTACTCAGAGATGATGTTGTTGTTATGTGCCATGGAGTTGGTTCAGACACGTAGTGACCCTGTACAGGGTTTCTGAGGCTATAAATCTTTACGGGAGCAGAAAGCCTCATCTTTCTCCTGCGGAACAGCTGGTAGTTTCGAACTGCTATCCCTGAGGTTCACAGCTCGATTCGTAACCACTACGCTACCAGAGCTCCTTTATTCAGAGATAAACGTGCTATCATCTTCAATCTTTTTCTGTATGTGTAAAATAATTTGAAATAAAAATTTATCTTTTCACTTTAGCATTTTAAAACTCTTGGGCATTCCGCACATTCAACCAAGTATTAAAAGATTATTTCATGTTTGATAATTACAAATGAAATACCTGGATCGATGATTACTCACATGCTAAAGCATTGTTGTTGCTGTTGTGCTGTTGTTAGGTGCCGTCTAGTCAGTACCAACTCATAGCGACCTTATGCCTGCAAGGAGCACTATCTGGCTGCACTTCTTCCAAAATGGATCTATTGGTTCTTTTGGCAGCCCATGGCACTTTCAATATTTCCCCCTAGCACCATAAGTCAAAAGCATCAATTCTTATATGATCGTCTTTATTCACTGCCCAGCTTTCACATACCTATGAGGTTATTGAAAATACCATGGCTTGGGTCAGGTATTCAACACTTTAAAACTTTAAAAAGGTCTTATGAAGCAGATTTTCCTAATGCAATATGCCATTTGATTTCTTGACTGATGCTTTGTGAGTGTTGATAGTTGATCCAAGAAGAATGAAGTCCTTGACAACTTCAATCTTTTCTCCATTGATAAGAATGTTGTTTATTGGTCCAGTGGTGAGGGTTTTTTTTTCCTGACATTGAGA